TATCTATTGTCTTATGCAGAGATGGCTCTACAAGAGCTTAGTCACCAAGGAGTCAGGTATTGGTCTTACCTATCTCTTCTGCTTACCCTTTTCTTTCATTTTTCCACTTCACTTCTATTATTTTATTGTCTTTGATATTAATATTTTAATTACAATTCAATAATCATAATGTCAATAAGAATGATAACAATGTCAATATTAGTATTATTAGGAAGAAAATTGCATTTTCCCACCAATTCAAGGAATGGGGGAATCAGGATTGGTCAGTAGGGCCAACTGATAGATTTCTTGCTGCTGAGCACACATGGAGCTGTCTGTATGTAACAAAATCTAAAGAGGACAGTAAATAACCCCGCAGACATTGGGTTAATCAACAATAGTAGTTTACAGGTGTCTCACAGCTCTGGCAAAAGTCATTACATTTATATTACTTATATTCCTGCATAACAATTCACTGGCCTCACTAAAGAGCCTGCTCATGGGCCCTCTTGCCAAAGTACACATGGTAAGGATATTTTGGCCTCAACTGAACTTCACAAGAGTAGAGGCTGAAGTCAGTGCTTGAAGCTATGCCAATGTCAGTGACCATCCAATAATGCTCAATCACTTCACACAGAACTTTGATTAACTCACATTAATAGAGTTAAAGGTGGTGGGTTCTTTGAATACACAATTGTCTTGTAGTTAAATATTGGCAAAATCTGATCTTATCATCTACCTTTTCTCACTGTTCATATCACTATTTCCCTGGAATACTTTATGTTCTTCCCATGGAGTCAAAATCATTACTACAGATGGCCTTTGCTGACCATGTCTGCTATAATGCACACTAACAGAGCACAAAGGCAATCTAGTGGCACCAAAACTGTTAGTTTCATCTATGGAGATCTCTCGTGAATATCTGCTTCCCTTCTGCACCTCAGTTTCTGTCAGAGGAACTGCCACAAAGTGGGAACATCACCATTCCTGAGGTGGGAATGTGAAATGTAGGCTCAACTGTCACTGAATTGATAGTCACTTCACTGGTCGCCAACAGCCGTTATATGGTATTACACGAAAGGCTTCCTTCTCGTGATAGCGTGATTAATAATACTGCGACGAAAGAGATCTTTGTTTTTCCAAATCTAAAAAAAAACCGACCTCCTGAATACCTTGCGGCAATGCTATGGCTGAAAAATAGATAACCGCTGCACTTGTCTCGCCTGCCCGCGGGTGCTGCCCACGTCTCATTTGCTCCAACGACCGGCCCTCACCTGCTGTCTGGCTAAGATCATTGCTTGGAGAGAGGAGAAAAGTCTACCGCCTCAGGTAACGAGAAAACGAGTCCAAATAAGCGGCCAGGTGAAGGCTCCGTCTTTGTTCCTGGTGTTTACATGCCGAGTTGCCAGGCGACGCGGCGCGGGGGCGCCCCTGGCCCGCGCTGCCCCTGCCAGGCCTGCCCGCAGGGGCTCGCCACGGAATTAGTGCTCGAGCTCGGGCACGGCGCTCATTGGGCCGGCGAGGTGCTAATTCGGCCGGAGAATATAGGCTGATAAATACGGCCGTCAGCAACGATCTCACCCTGCCTCCTCCCCCGACGTGCGCGCTCAGCTGATCCCGGGCGGCGGCGGGTTCGAAGCCCTGCGCCCTCGCGGGACGGCCCGGGGACGCCTCCACTGGCCCTTGGCCGCCCAGGGCCGCCCAGGGCCGCCCACGTCGCGGGAGATGTGTCACCGGGTTGTTAGCCTTGCCTCGTGATGACTGAGCGCAACGTGTACTCCATGCCCAATCAATCAAGTGCAGGTTTACTTGCCTGTCATCAAAACTGGGGTAGAAAGAACGTTACTAATGATCTCAAGTTGTAAATAGAACTAGCAAAAAGTAAATTCACTAAAAGCACGGAATGAAATAACTATGTACGCTCTGGCAAAACAAAAAAAAAATAACGTATAAAATGGGAAGGATATGATGCCAGTATCTGGCATTTTGGACCAGCGCAGGATTTTTTCTGATGAGGAGGCTCACCAATATTTCTTTTGAAGAGACGAAACGGATACATTAAATAGTCTGAGAGCTGTCTTAGAATGCTCTCCAACCAATCCATGATATCTCAATTACACAGATTCACGCAACGTCGTATGCAGATTAATTGTTCTATCAGTAAAGGAAATGTTGGATACTTCGTTTCTGTTTTAAAAATCCGTCAGAAATCCCGCAGACCACTGGCTAAAGAAGAGACAAGGAGATAGCAATATAATTGCAACAAAGATGGACAGGAAGATCTGGGGAATGAGGGAAACTTGGGGAAAAGAACATCAAAGAGAAACGGAAAACAACTAGAGTGTAAAATGAGTGTAAAAAAAAGTTTCATATTCCATAATGGCAACCAAGAAACAAGCAAATTAGAGGATTAGGTCACGGGTTTATTAACAAATTTCATAACATCTTGATCAAGTGGAACGTTTATTGCGCAAAACTTTAAAATAACAAGGTCCACAATAATCCAAAACCTATTAAGATTGACAGAAAAACTATATCAGAATCGGGATCTGAAGGATTTTGGTCTCAACGATAAAGTATAGCAGCTTCTGAGAATAATAGGATGCCACAAACAGGTAACAGGCATTACAGATGATGCAAATGCGGAATGGCAAACTTACTCAGGCTAAGAAAAATAGAAAATCTCGCAGAGAGCACAGGACAGTCAATGCGAGATGCTCCAAGGGCAGACAGCCGCTGAAGAAGAGGCCACCTGTGGACGAAGCCTCCACCAAGGCAAGCTCTGAGGTTAGGTCCTGTCAAGCATGCACTTGAAAGGCAAATAGCACTGATGCCTAAGCCTAGAGTCCTTCGCCAGGAAATAGCCCTTGGGGCTTTTAGGTCCAAAGGCTAGGCCAAGGTTGAAGGGCGAGGGACCATTAGGAAGGTTGCCCCTTTACCCTGAGGGAATCTGCAGTGAATAGTGACGTGCTGTGCGAGGGGTCCGGGCTGCCCACCACTTCCGGAGGTTTTCCAGGCCTGGAACGGGAGAGCAACCACGTTGGTTCAAGTAGTGATGAGGACCAACTTCTGTCATGGAGTACCTTCTGGGGCCGCTAGATAATAAAACACGGCCTGTCTATCTCTAAATCTCGGAAGTCAACCTCCAGCACTGGGACTCAGGTTATGGGGCTCTGAAAGATTTTCTCGCCCTCCTGAGACCACAGCCAGAAAGAAGAGGGGGCTTCCTGGAAGGAGAGCAGCCACCACAGAAGTATACATTTTCTTTGGGAATCTTGGAGGAAGGAAGGAGTTGAGTCAGAGGTGGTATCTAAGAAAGGTCGCAAGACTGTTCTCAGCAAATCAAAATATAACCACATGTCAAGGCTAATTAGAACTAAAATATTGACCCTGTGTGAGACCCTACGGTGACAATTCACTGTAATAATACTATCGAATATGGCAGTTCATTGTAATAGTACTAGCGAATGAATATCACAACAAATCTTACTCATATCAATGGTGATGTGTAGATGATTATATATATAGACAGAGAGATACAGATATATGACTGGATATTTAAATAGAAATGAAGAGACAGTCGTAGGAATTTACAGTATCTACAAATATAAGTAGAGATAAAGAGGGAGACAAAGATATAGAAAGGAATATAGAAAAGGTGTAAAGAAAGATAAACAGAAAGAGATATAAGACAGATAACGATATATAGATAGAAATATAGAGACGGGGATTCAGAGACTGAGAACACGAAGAAAGTGAAATTTCACTGACAATCAATGTTTCTCAAGTTACCTGCGAGTGACGACAAAATACATACCACCTGATGAAGCGACAATAACAATCATCGCCTGGATTGTGACAGAGAGGGAGGAGTTCAATAGACCCCTGTGCTCCCAACCTCGACTTTTTTTGTGTGTGTGTGGGGTGGGGGAGGATATTTGGGGTAAACTCTCCAAAAATGACCTTGATGCACACTGTGCTCAGGGATTTATTACTGCCTGTGTTTATTGCTGCTAATCATGATGATAAAAGTAGAGATCGAAAGAATGCTACTAGTAATGGTAACGATAATAATAATAATAATGATAACAACAATAACTTTACTACTACTACTACTAATACTGCTACTACTAATAATAATGAAATTATTAATGACAATGATAAAAAAATATTATCATCATTATTATCATTATAATTATTATCATTCTCATTATTATCATCTTTTGTTATTGTTATTGTTATTTTAATTATTGTAATTATGATAATGATAATGGTAATACTAATGACGATGATAATGATAACAATGATATTGCTAGTAATAGTAATATCAACAATAATAATAGCAGTCATAGTCATTATAATTATAACAAATATGATGATGATAATAATAAATATTATAGTAGTAACAATGAATATGAGGATAATATTAATAATTATAACGATAATACTCTTCATTATCGTTACTGTTATTATCACTATTACTATTACTATTGTCATTATCGTCGTCACTTTTATTACCATTATTATCATCATTGTTATTGCCATTATTATTACTACTATCATCATTATTGGTAATAATACCGTGATCACATTCTTTCCTCCTGGTGCAACAGCCCAGAATACAGCCGGGGTTATTTTAGGCTAGGCTGCCTTATACCCGGGACATAAATTAGGCTAGCCCAGTTTATACACCCAGGTGTAACATGAGCTAGGCTAGCGTATACCTCTAGGCCAGAATGCACCCCTTCGCTGTTGCATTGCTGGAATGGTTAATGGTTAAAAGCAAGATAAATGTGCTAGACATCTAAGGTCATGTAGCACTATAGTTAATGTTAGTGAAGGATGGTTGAGTTAGTGATTAGTTGTCTAAGCTGGGTAAAGGAATTGGTGAGTAAAAGGGTTAAAGGTCGGGTGTTAGATTAAAGTATGGACGAGACATAAGGGGAATGTGGGGAAGAGACAAAATGATAATTGGGGATTGGTATTGGAGGATGTGTAAGAAAGGTTTCTTGAAGGCATACAATAGATGGGTTATAAGAAGAAAGGATATGACAAAGGTCAGGTCTGTGGGAGCGGAAACCGCGAATATTCCAATGAAGGATAGTTATACTTTCGTTGATTTAGTGATATAGATTGTAGTACGTGTTGGAGAATTTGAAGGGGAAGCAGCTAGAGGGTGGGATAAGGACTGAGAGGTTTGAGATGGGAGAGGTGTGGGAGTTGGTGTTCTATCAGGAGGGGTATTAGGAGATGGAGGGTCTGAGGAAGGGGATACTTGTGGCATAAGGGATTCACGTGTGTATCCAGGAGGGAGTGGAAGGGATAGAGGGGATAGTGGGAGGGTTAATGTGGGCGGGGTTGGGGTCAGGGGGGATGGGCTGTGTTGGGAGGGGGTAGGAGGATAGGGTGTAGGGGAGATATCGTTAGGAGGAGGATGGATATCAGCAATTACTTGGTGTGTGGAAGGAGCAGGAGTTGTAGGTTGAGTGTCAGTTTTCATTAAGTAATCTTGAATATTTTCAATAGTTTCTTCTGTGGAGTTGGTTGGGAAGTTTTGGGGGATAGGGGATTTCTTGTGAGGGGGGGGGGGGAGAGGACTGGTGTCTCAAGAGTAGGGGCAAAGGATGGTGGGGGTGATTGTGTGGTAGGGGAAGAGGGGGTGGAACGTTTGTTCTGTCTGTTACGGGTAGTGCGAGGAGGGAGAGGGGAAGGTGTTGGGGTTGTAGTGGTGATTGGAGTATCTATAGTAGAGATTGGAGTGTCTGGATTTAGGATGGCAAAAGAGTTTGACTGGGGAAGGCAGGAGGTAGAAGTGGGGGAGTTAGATGTAGGAGGGGTGGGTTTAGGAGAAGTGTTAGAATGAGCAGTATTACTGGAGTAAGGAGTAAGACGTGCTTCCTGTCTGGCTTCACGTAGTGTGAGTCCAAGTTTGAATCTGAGAGTTGCTACCTCAGATTCAAATTTGTAGGTGGGACAGCCCCTATAAAATACAGTTGGCACATGTGCGTGATTGTGCAGAGCAGTTAGATCGGGTATGGTCA